TCGCATACACACGATAACGCACACATAGATCATGGTGGCATGCAGCAGTGCATACACACACACACACACACACACACACACACAAGCTCATCTCGAGCCAAGTAATGTTGACAGCGACCCTGCTATTTTTAAAGGGCACACTTCACAAGATATCATCTCCTCATCATTTGTCCTCAGGGATCTTCGTCGATTTACACACACGCACAAAATGGTAGACGCACACACACACACATGTAGGGAAGCATCGTATAGTCACAGAAAGTACTGACACACACACATGTACAGTGGGGAACAATGTCCCGTCTCCAGATCTGTGTTTTATAACAATTCAAGCTGATAAAATTAAGTTTTTTTCAACCAGGGTCATCGGAGAGTTTTCCTTTGTTTGACAGAACTCAGTTTTTCACAGCATAAAGTTTTTTGCTCTGAATATATCAAAACATGCCACTTCAAATCAAAAACCATGTGTAGAAGACAAGACAACGCCCACTGTGTCACATCGGCCACCAGCAGAAACACCGGGTTTGTTTCTGGACCCACGTGGGAAACAGTGCGAGAAAGCTTGGTAAGCGGAGGCTAATTATTCTAACTCCTCCATTTCCAGAGTGAAGCACAAAATAAACAACAAAATAATTCCTCCCAAATGCTTGTATTTAAAAAATTTATTTCAGTTATAAACGGCACGTTGAGTCAATGGCTTCCTTTAAATCAAAGCTTAGAAACTTATTTTTGTCATATTGCATTTGCTTTGATTACCAATTAATTCTAGCTTTTATTATCGTAATGGTGTGATGCACTTATTAACTTTGTTCTGAGGAGTGCTGTGTCAATAAAGAGATTATTATTATATTATTCTCTTTTAAAGAACATTTAAAATATGCAAAACAGCTGAAGCATCAACGCAGTTTGTTTTTTTTTCCACACAAAAAGCGAGGAGAGTTAAAAAATCTACTAATTACATGCGTGATGTTGCATATTTTATTGAAGTTCATTTAATGATCCCAGAATGCTTGACCCAAATGCAACAGCTGCTGCGACTGACGTAAAACAAAACAAATACAGCTTCTCACTGGAAACGCATGGAGCTTCTGCAACAACATCAGCAACAGTGAGGAAGTCTGTATGAAACGACTGAACCGTTGTGATCACGATGCTGAAATTCACTGACTGACATTTACATAAAGCTTGACTAAATGGCCTTTATGCGGCGGTTAGGCGATAAACAAACATGTTGCAGTGCGACTAATGAGTCGTGACTGAACGTGCATGCTGAATTTATTTAGCGATCGGCTCGTGCACTTATCAGCGTTGATTTCTCAGGCATGAGAACTGCTTTTATCTATTTATCTAAGATTTGAGCGAGAGTCTTGCAATAGCAAGTGCAATTTGTGACAAAACACTTTTAATTTGGATGAAATGTTTGTTAAATCCTTGCAGCTTCAAGGTGGAATCGTGTGCGAAACCTTTTATCGAGCCAGTTTCTCGTAATATTAGGACTAACCTCGGAATCGAGTGCAACCTCGCCGCTTTCTTCTTTTCAAATAAAATATATATTTTGCATTTCTCTCTTTTCATGTATACTATTAAACTGTTAAACTTTCCTTTTCATAACTTTATTGGGGATTCATTCCGGCTCCCTTTCATACGTGAAGTGGTGTTAACGTATTGCTTTGTGTGACTTCCTATCAAGGACACGTGGAGGATTTTGTTGCCTCTTTTCATCATTTGAGGAGCCACCGCTTTCAGTCCTTCAGCCTCATCTCCATGCTTCTGTCATATTATGGCGCAGCTTTATATTTCACACACTTGCCAATACTCTCTCGTTCTTGTTGGCAGGTTTTGTGCACCACTCAAAATCCTACACCTGATGATGCAAGCACTGCCCAAACCTGTAAGCACGCGCGTTACCAGATGAGACTGAGGGTTTGATAAAATCGAGCTAAAGCAACATTTCAATCCAAGGAAGAATGAATGCAGCCTGTAAATCACACTGATAGGAAACTGGGCTTTAGTAGCATCAGTGCATTTTTCAGCTTTGAAACTTATCAGTCATAAGATATGTGGGTTTTTAAAGTCTTTAATCCCAATCCTTTGCAGTGGTGATCTGGTTCCTTATATTAGTTTGTCTATCCTCGGAAAATGCAAATGAAAAAAGAATTGCAGCTGTAAATGATGAAAGTGAATCCTTTAGGCAGATATAGCTCTCATAAAAAAATCTGTCATGTTTGACGTTTGCCTCTCCCTCTCTCGTTCTACCTCTCCGTCTCTCTCTCTGTCCTCCTCTTCTTGATGTTGCGCTCCCAGCGGCCTCCTTCCAGTCAAACCACCAGTGGGGGAATATCACCCGTTTCCCCAACATGTCATGTCTGGAGCGAGGATGCAATTTTTAGTGCCAAAGTGTCTTTTAGGAAAGTAGGCCAAGAGCGTGAGGATTTTTTTAGGGAAAGACAGGATGACAGAGAGACGCAGAGGGGTAGAGGAAGAGAGACGTGCAAACAAGAGAGTTTCCATCAAATTTGTGACGATGCGTTTGTTTGTTCGTGGGACGACCATCACTCGCGTACACGACAGCCGACATGAGGAAAAACTTTCTTCTTTTATTCCCTATATCTTGTTCTCCGTTTTTAAACACACATACATCACTGTCTCTGCTCAATTCAATATGATTTTATTTAATTTTAAGATTTATAGACAAAGTTTTAAATCTAGGTGCCATGGATACTATATATACACAGACCATTTATTTATATAATACCAAAGACTGTAAAAGAGTAACAGCCCCTATAGTTCTCTTCACTGGGGGGAAATAAAACAAAGGAAAAAAGAGGGGAATAAAAATAAATATGCAACTCTGGAGAAGAAAGTTTACCATGAAATGTGACAACCAATAATTCAGACGAGACAATAAAATAGAATCTGGATCTAAATCTGTGAGATTGACGGATCCAGTGAGATACCAAACCTCAGAATATAGGTTTAGAACTGCAGGAGAGTAAATCATGAGACGTTGATTATTTTTCTTCCACTTGGAGATGGTTGTCAGGTGGACTTGAAATCGTGCTACACGTGCTTGCTCTTGTTTTTTTATTGGCCAGCTGGAGCACTGTCCGCTAACACCCCCTGCTGAGCTCTGCATGGTGCTAACGTCACTGAAGCTCTGGGGGAGGTCAAGGTGGGTGACTGGGTGAACACAGAATGGGACATGGGAGAGTCCAGTTTCCTCCCAGAAGTCAACACTGGTTTCTTTTTACCATGCAAACGCTTTTTTTTTCCAGTTTTCTTTTCAACAAACCCAAACTCAACCTGCACATTCCTGAGGTCTGAGAAATGTGTTGAGCTCCTTATTGACCATTTATGAAGCCGTTTTGTCTACATCCATGTTTACCAGTAGTTTTCCTCTTCGCTGTTTTTGCATGCTTGCACCCTGCTATGTTTGTTGGTGTCACCGCTGCCAACTGTCGACGAGTGGACTCTGCAGGAAGTGAATTGTGCCGCCAGCATGCATGTGCATCCAAAAACAAACAGGGACCAACCTGTAAACTTGCCTGCAATGAATACTGAATTTTCAATGTAGTTAACATGTCCCTGCACTGTTTTTATATATTATACATAACATCTCAGAACTGGCCGACCAATTGGGATTTCCATAATCACTGTTGTGCCGACTCTGAGTTCAAGCGACGTCACCGGCACACGATGGCGACACCTATGTCTGGAAAAGTTTTGTTTTCATTTCCGTTATCATATCTTCAAACTTTTTCTAGTTGTCTTTATAATGTTGTAGTGAGTGATACTTGTAGGTTAACGTGTACAATCCGCTCCTCGCTTTCACGTTTGAATGTGTCTCCTGTATTACCACATGTGTAGCGTACGGAACAGGAAACAGTTAGATGTTTGTGTGTTTGTTGAGCAAACTCACAGCTGCAAAGAGGTTCATCTACAAACACATAGATACTAAATGATGTAAAGGTCTACAGTTACAGTCAAGTCACTCTAAAGGCCAAGAAGGAAAGAAACTCTAAAAGAACAGAGATGTGTTTTTAACGGTTTTGACAAACCAGGAGAGGAACTGAGAGTTTTAGTGACCTAAAGCTTTTTGCTAACATCCGAAAAGAATTAACTGATATGAAGGTAATGACAAATAACCTTTGTTAAAAATAGACTTTGCACAAAGGCTTTGACAAATCACTGCACCGAAAGAGAGCGAGAGAGGAAGAGAGACTATAGCAAACATACACAGCTACTAGAGGACAAAAAGTAAATGTTGATTTACATTTTTTTCATGCCAAAATATGTCAGCACTGCTCCCAGCTCTAATGAAAATACTGAATGTAGAGCTGAAAGTGCAAATAACAAGAGAGTGAGTAAACAGAGGAGAGTGAGAAGAAATGGGGAGGGAGAGAGGGAGGAAGGGAGGGAGGGAGGGAGGGATCGGTGGAAGTGTAAAAGAGAGCGAGAGGACTGCTGTTGCCACAGGAGAGGTTTCATGTAAAAACACACAAGTCGGCTTTCCTGTCCAATCCAGCAAATTACCAATGACCGACTCCCCCCTGAAGAGACGAGGAGGGGGGTGAGATGGATGAGTGTGTGTGTGTGTGCGTGTGTGTGCAAGGCGCCCCCTCTCATCTCATTTACCGGCTTAGACAAGATCTTTCTGTCAGATACAGACACACACACACTCACACACTCTCACGCGCACACACATGCAGAAACACACATGCAGAAACACACACACACACACACACACACACACACACACGCACATACACACTCTCCCGCCAAAGTCAGCCCCCTGAAATATTTACTAGCCTCATGTGGGGAAATCTCTGAGGATTATCCCCAATAACCTGTTTAACTTAATCCTTATCTCACACACATGAATAATAAATCTCTCCCCCCACTCTCCGTCGCTGTTCCCTCTCTCCGAGACGGACTGAGAAGTAACGCCTCTCTCACCTTACTCTCCATCACCCTCCCTCTCTTCTTCGCTCTCACACTCTCATTCCATCTGCTTCAGGAACATGAGCCGGCTGCTTTCTCTGCCTCTCTGAGCGTCTTTGAGCTGTTTTGACATATGCGCTCCCTCTCTGCTTCTCTTTTTTTCCTCTTCTGTCTCTCTCTCCACCAAACCCCACCACACCTCTCCATACCTCGCTCTGTCTCTCTCTCTCTCTCCTGTGTTTTACCCGGCTGGGCAGGAAAAGGAGCGGTAGCGGAGAGCAAAGAAGGCTGATCTCGATAACAGGAAGAGGAAGTGGGCAGTGACCTGTGTGAGAGGTCTGTGGTCAGGCAGCTGCAGTTCAACACTTTTTGGCCACTGGATGAGAAAATCACATCGGAGGTGAGAGGAAGAAAAAATAAAAAGAAGAAGAGAGACGTGGGAAAAACCTGTTGGACTCTCACCTGAGGAAAAAATCTCGACATCTCGAGGAGGGATCAAGACATTTGTGGGTCTTTCTCAAGAGTTGGATTAGAGTTTATGCCTCTTTGACGAAGACACTATTCAAAGGATTAGAGCACTGCCTGCTTCTATTCCCACATTTGCTCGACTCTCCAGGAGTCTGTCATTCTAGGATATTCGAAAGGCAACACATCCTCATCACCGACTTTATCACCCGGTCCAGCTTCTGAAGGATTTTCTCCAGAAACCCAAGTGGAAAGAGAAATCCCCACTCGTACATCTGACGAAAAGAAGAGGAAGAACGAGCGTCAGTCGGTGGTTTGACCCTCTGTTGGGGTTAAAACCACCAGCCTCTAATTTGCACCCCGGCCTGCCGAGTACAGTTTGACTGAGCGAGAGAACACCTGCAGAGATTTGGACTTCGTACCAAAGCAAAGGTCCGATCGTCGGTTGGGTTTGGACTCTTCTCTGTGGTAAGTTTTCTGTTTTTCTTGCAAGAGAGACACTGAGTGCACAGGTGTTTTATGGGTAGATAAACAAGTATGTACAAACACACGGTCCTTCCGACTGCAAGTGAAGTGTCCAGAAGACGTAACCCAGATCTGCTGAAAACACCCCAGGCCACTGGCAGTCACTCCAGGTCTGAGACGCTCATGAATGCCGGTGAAACCGTCTGGGAAAAGCTACGGAAATAACCTGAAATGATGGTTATTAACCCTTAAAGGACAAGCTGTCGGCCACTGTCACTTTTCACATATGTTATGCCGATGATGTCGGACAGCTCGGTGTAGATTTGAATGCTGTAATTGAGCACTGTTGCCCCCCCCGGGGGCCAGACTGTCATTCCTGAAGACAGACGGCTGTGGCCATTAAGACGATACGGGATGATCTGCGGACGGAGAGTGAGAGGAAAAAAAATTAAGAGCAGAGCAAATCCACTAGGAGATCTTCAGCTGTCCATTTCAAGAGGTTTCCATATTATTGTGGTTGTCAAATAGATGTCAAGATGATGTGGCCTTTTTATTATTGATGATGCGCATTTAATATTTCCTGACACGAAGACTAGAGGAAGATGAAACATCACCGTAAATAAGAGCTGTTTTTCTAAAGAGCATTTATTGTTGAGACCCTGATATTTGAGGTTATTCATTTACTTTCTGATGCTTGTGTTCGTGATGTTGTCGAGCGTGTGCGTTTGAGAACGGTTTCTTAGCGGAGGTGGATTTTCTCTGCGGATCTTGATCCATGGCCCCGAGGGACAGAGGTGATTTGATTTGGTTGTTACGTCGAAAAGCCGTTGATGCAACTAAACCCAGTGGTCTAATTCCTGGAGAGGGAACTGTCAGGGAAAATCCTTTGGGTGCCATCTGGGAGACTTCAGCCTCCTCTCTCCCTCCCTCTCACTTTCTCCCCCAACACACACACACACACACACACACACGCACACGATTACAGCCGTTTGTTCATTCAGATATATGTCAGAGTGGTTGACAAGCTGTCCAGCTGTGGTGATGTTAGCTCGGCTGAAGTCACTGATTACTACTGGAAGACCCAGTTACCATTTTTATTTTCTGTGTCTGACCTGTATTCTGCGTTTCTACCACATCTTCACATTGTATTTGAACAACAATAGATTTTCCATACCTGCTTTTTTAAAATCGGGTTTTCACATTCAGGTCGCTGTGCAATCGATCAACAATGATGAATAAGATAACGAGAGCCAATCAGCACGTCCTGCAGCTGCGATGTGTTTTAGTAAAAGGAGGCCTCAACAAAGGAGGCTGGATTTTCAAGTTATTTTAAGAATACTTCCATGTGCTCAGTGATTTTCTAATCATTCAGTATAATTTATAGAGGAAATAAAATGTATTTTTCCATATTCCTCCTTTATTTTTTCCATTTTAAAGCCATTTAGTTGGAAATTTTGCCTTTAGCACAGATGGGCTCTGACAGCTGAGCCAAAAAACCAATGTGGATAACAAGCTTTAAATGATTTTCAGATGACTGTCGGTCATTACTGTCGGTCTTAAAGTCGGCCGACATCATTCATACCCGGCTCACTGTAATAAAATCTGATTTGTCTGATTGTGAAGGAAAACAGAATTAACTCAGAAACACTTGATCGCCAATCAGAGAGTGAATAAACTCTGGGACATGACAGAGTGTCAGCGAGGACAACGAATGTGTGTGTGTGTGTGTGTGTGTGTGTGTGTGTGTGTGTGTGTGTGTGCGTGACGAGGAGCAGTTAGTGTGATTCGCTGGCAGACAGATTGTTAGAAGCTGCTCTGTGATTAAACCTGTTTTAATCTCGACAACAGACACACACCATGCTATTCGGCTGCATCACAGATTTTGAGGCCTTGGAATCACTTCCTGTGCCGAACGTACACAAATAAACAAACTGTGAATTTAGGGCAAGTAGAGTTAAAAGTAAAGTCTGCTAAATTGTTTCAGGGACACCATGTCGAGAGAGATTTAAAGATCGTCCAGTGCTCACAGGGGCTGACGTCCGACTCAAATGTTGGACAGAGAGAAAACCACAGTCACGATCTTGTTCTTCTTGCAAGTCGTGAAAGTTACGAAGATAAATTAAACATTAAACAAAGAATCCTCTCATTTGAACAGGTTCTACCTCAGGGGAGTCTTAGCAAATGTCACGTCATTCAGGCTGTTCCATTATGCAGCAGGCTTGTGCTCAAAATTATCAGAGAGAAAAAGGTCATGTTATCATGAAATTTAACAGGGTTCTTCCTCTGGGGACCTTAACTTCACATTAATCCAGCTCGTAGGTGTCTCCAAACAAAGATGACATTGTACGAGACTTGACATTTTACATTTTGGTCTGAGAGTGGAGGAGTTTTCATTGAAAGACAAACGAGAGTCCAAAAAGTTCATCCTACCGGGAGCATGCATGTGTTGGGATTTTGGATTTGGATGTTTTTAGGATATTTAAGCCTCGTCATAGTGTGGGTAATGTTTAGACCGTCACCAACATGATTTTGTCTTTAAGAAAAAATCCAAATACATTTCGGTGCAGATCCAGATAAAAGGGATGGATCAAGTCATTTCTCACTTTCTTCAACATTTAACAAGATCTTCATGGATCCTGGTGAAAAAACTCTGATCAGTCTTATTAAAGCAAGCGATTTCTAGAAATCTGTGCAGCTTGATGGAATTTAAAGCAACAATTTTCTCTCTCTTCGATGTCATTTTTGCTCCAATTCAGATAATTTTCTTCCAACCAAAGTGTTGAATAAGCAAATGAACACCAGGACCATCAACTGACATATCATCTCTTAGTTTGTGCGAAAATAAAGTAACGTGAGACAAAAATACACCTTGTTATCAAGACATAAGACAAAGGAGTTGCCATGTGAGACTGACGCCACAGATGTCGACACAGACATATTTATATCAATATCTTACGAAGGTATATATGCATCAGTTAGTTAATGATTGATGATTTTTCTGGGTCTGACACATGAAGGTGACGTCCCCAATCTTTATTTCTGTCACAAAAGTCCAAGTTTGTTATTACTATTTTAATCACAGAAACGTTGGAGGTGTCTGGATGGAACTAGATTGATCCTGTAATCAAAAATATACTTTATTTTGTTGCCAGGGAGGAGACGACAGTGTCCGACCCTCACTGAGATCTCGTTATTCATATAAATAGTTGTGTCCTTTGTTTAAATAATTAAAAAAAGAAGAGGACACGTTCACCATGAAATGTCAAGATGTGATGCATGATATCCAGACACTCGGACACAGAAGGACTGAAAGAGAGACGGATTTCGTCATGGGGGAATTTTTCTGATGTCTTTACAACTCGCAACAAAGACTTTTTTTGTGTGAACTTCACTGACCCTTCAGCAAGCGCCAGGATTATGAAGTCTTGTTGACTTCGTTTCTGTGCTTTAGCCTTTGGTACATTGCAAACTAGGTCAGACCTGTCTGCCAGTCTCAAAACATCCCGGAGAATGACAACTGTATCTCTGTGTCTGTTTCTACTCCTCCGTCACACTCAGTTTCTCTTTGCCTGTGGACAACGTACAGATGTAATTACAGATATTCCCTCCTTGTTATTTATTTCTTCTTACCTCGGAAAGATTCCGCTGATAAATTATGTCGTAAATAACTTGGTATAATCCTGTGTGTGAGATTTGCATGCATAACGCTCTGGAGATGGAATTTTACAAAGTGCGTAATTTAAAGCTTAACAACTTTCAGTGCAAACTAAAATGACGGGTATATAAATTAAAAAAACACTGTTAATTTACTTCTTATCCTCCTCATCTTTTTATACACCATCTGATCTCACACTAATTAAAAGGATTGAAAAAGTCAATCAAAGTTAGAGTGAACAGTTTTTTTTATTAGCGTGTTTTTCCTCCTCTCCGTCTTACGAGGTGTTAAATCTGCGGTTTAAGGTGAAGTAGAGAGTGACAGGGATGAAAAAGACGAGAAGGTGAGAAAAGGAAAAACAAAGTAATGATCGACAGAAGACAGAAATAGACTCTGTGAAAAAACCAAGACGCAGTTTTCACCTTGAGAGATTCAACTAGGGAGAAAGAGGAGTTGAAGTTGAGACAAAATGACAGAGAGGACGAACAGGAGACAAAGTCAGATGAAAAAAAAAAAAAAAAAAAAAAAAAAAAAAGAACGAGTGAACGAAGAGAGAGAATGACGCAGGCTGAAATCAAAACCTGAGACTTGGGGACAGAAACAGCAACAGCAGCACGACTGAATACTAGGAAGGGTGTGTCCACTTGCTAATGATGCGTCCTCATTAACTGTCCCCAGAAGACATTGTGTACACACTTCCTGTTGATAAAAGGGGAGGTGGTAGACGCCGGACATTGAAGGAGGAAACGGCGTTTAAAAAAAAAAAAAGCCCCATTCCCCGATGGGTTTGTCATCAAAGACATGAGTCTTGAGTGACGAACCGAGATGTTAATAAGTGTGAGTAAGACGTTACTGGACAGGACACAGACAGTCACGGCATGCATGACATGTAACAGGTGGAAAAAAACAGGTGGACAAAGCCATTGCTAATGTTGTCAGTGCTTTTCCGACATGAAGTCAAAATGTGAAAGTTGGATTCTGTCACATCTTTTTCATTGGTCTTTGCATGATTTAAAAAACCGCTCTGTAAAATCCCAGGATGGATAAAAGACACAAAACATGAAACAGCCTTTACAAAGTTATAAAGTTTCTGGGTTAGACATGTTATTTAACATAAAACAATGTTATTGAGGCAATATTGAATTTTAGTACCAACGGGAACTTCTAATTCCCCCAAATCTAATCTCAGCTCAACACAGAACGGTTTTTAATTAACTTGGAATGATTTATATGCTTGTGTGTTGCACAGCTCGAGCAGAGATACAACAGAACATGTCCGACTAAAGACGGAAAACCAATGAAAGTGATGGACTTTTTTAATTTTACTTAGTGATGAACTAAATGACTGATTCATGAGTTTACCCATCAACAGTTACACTGGTTAACTTGGCGATAACAGAAATCTTTAAGACACTCAAGTCTCAGTCTGTTAAACAGCTTCAGTTGTACCTCAGTATTTTTCTGCTTCAGTTTTCAAGCTGTGTAATAAACCAGACTGGTTCCCTTCTTGATTCATTCTTAGATTTTACAATAAACATCTCTGAGTTTGAAGCTCATTTAAAATGTGATAACTGATCTTAAAACCCAGACGACGTTCTCTGCTTGTTTGCTTTATTCCTTGTCAGTCTTCTGAGCGTTAATTTCTTTTATAGTTTTTGGAAGCTGCTGCGTGAGAACATACGTGTTCAGCTCGGAGGGAGATAACTAGTGTTTGTCGAGAGGTTGTTGAGAGGAAGGATACGAATGACCCTGAAACCGGGTGACGAGAAGGACAATGTCAGGACACAGTCAGGAAATATGACTGGTGTCAAACAGAAGCTGAAGTAAATGTGTACCTCACTGAATCAGGAACTGTGAATGGACGTTGGACATTTAATCGGCCCCTTTGTTTAAATTGTGGCCCCTTTATCGTCTCTATCTCCCACTGACGTCTATAAAACATTGAAATGGACAAAAGTCATGAGAGCTTAGCTTCGCTTATCTAAACCCCACTAAACTAATAGAAAACATGACGTAAACATATGATTTGACAGATTTCAGAGAGTGAATCTATTTTGGGTTTGATTTGTCAATTTTATTTAAATGAAATTAAAACTGTAGACATTTCTTTCAGGTAACATCTAATGGGGATGTGTGGAGGATGGTAATCCGGGCAATGTCCACGAACAGGATTCCAAAGATTTAAAAGATATACACTCATAGTCATAATTCAGACCTTTTCTTCAGAACAACCGTGATCCATCCAACATCAAGTCGAAGGATTTAGGGCTGAATCCGAGCTCAGACCCTGCAACGCAAATTACATCAATACATCAAGTCAAATCAATGAATACCACAAGTGTTCAAACTAATGAAACTTTGAAACAAGGAAGATAGTGAGAGAAGGTTCTAATAATTTCTCTTTGGTATTAAATTTTAATTTGACGTGATTGCTTTTGTTTATTTCCAGTTTATGGGAACCAGAAAAGCAGATGTCTATTGGCAGTACACACAAATGCACTATAGCATAGCAGTACATTTCAATAAAAGACGACGCACTTGTGTTTAATTAATTTAGTCCTGAAAGGAAATGAAACAAAGAGGGAAAAATAAAACCCCAAAACAAAGGCTGTGAACTAGAGGCAGAAAAACACTGTTAAATCTTTGTTTGAGCTGATTTGTGGGGAGCCGTGTGAAGAGGTCAGCGGAGGTCAGCAGAATACGAGATTAGGCCATTAGAGGGGGACGACTTTGTGTGGGTATAATCCCCTCATCATAATCTCTCTTTCTCCCTCCCCGCCGCTAATGGCTGCAAGACAATAAGATGCACTAATCTGTCCACTGGGACGGCACAGGGCTGCACTGAGATATCTGCTGGAGTACAGAGCACATATAGACTAAAATGTTTTGAAGATTATTTCCCTGGCATTTCTGCTTTATTAGATAGAGCCTAGTGTTGGGGGAGGGGGGGAGACAGGGAGAGATGGTAAGAGAGAGAGCGGGAGGAAAAGCTCAAGTTTACTAAAGTGCTGGTGTTTGTGTCTTTTATACATTTTCATTTTGGTTAAATGTTGTTAAAATGGTTTTGAGGCAGAAAGAGCTGATGCAAGACAGTGAAACCTGTAGATTGTGAATTTGGTTTTGAGCCACTTTAATAGATTAGATATAAAGATGGACGTCTCAAATTCCTCCCATTATACAAAAAAAATAAAAAAATCACACATTCAGGTGCAGCTTTGGGTTTTTGACGTCATTAGGAGTCTGCACGATGTTTCCCCTCTTTTTATTAGCATCAAATAACTTCATAAAACAAAACTTACTGGAAAAATGAACAGTCGATCAAACAGAACGACTCAGAATGTATTTCATGTGTCCATGTCCCATCCACTAACCTGGAGGCGTGGCTTATGGCAGTTATGATGTAATACACCAGTGATGTGAAGTTTTTAGGTCACAGACTTTGCACAGAACTGAATTTATATAAATGGAGATAAATGGTGTTCAGAGAATATTTTAGTTCTGTTTTTAGATTTTAAGCTCCAGTCAGTCAAAGCGTGGACTCTCATAGCACCACCACCTGGTCCGACTCTATTGCCTCTATGTCCAGTTAAACATTTCTAAACCAAAGATATGGAAAGGCTCAAATACAGAACACACATCATAATCCCCGGAGGAGGCTTCCTATTACCTTCATTAGTTTTTGTTGATTTAAGTGTAATATTTTGGGAGCTGGTGTAAAACCGCAATGACATTTGTTGCTGACAGTCAAGTGCCCGGTGAACTTAGGTCTTCAGAATTGTCCTCTTGCTCCATCATTTAGTCAAACTTTAATCTGTAGGAGGTTTTTATTTCGTTTAACGTTTCATCCTCACAAAGCCAATAAAATGTGCCGCTTCTCTCCCACGTTCTCTGCATGATGGGAAACAGCGCTGTCCTCGCTACAGCACAATACACAATACACACTGTGGGAATAAATCCATGAGGTTTTACACTGATCTGATGCCAAAACACTGAAAGTGGTTTTTACAACTCATGTATTACAAATCGTTTTGTCCTACATTTCAATGATCTCAAGCTAAAGCAGTGGAATGGCTTTGTTTGTCTTATGTAGTAATTTAGCAGGAATGCGTTCTCTCTTTTCTGTGATGTTTTCTGTTTTTAGGAGAGGACGTCGCATAATGTCACGACAAAAGTCGATCCAGACTCTGGTGTTTTTTGTGGAGCGACTGAGTTCACTGTGTTGGTGCTCTTGTTGTGCAAATGCAGCGGCTTTAATGAAACACAGAGGAGGCTGCGTTTTCTTTGATGCATTACTCACGTCTGTCAGAGCACGATCGTATTTAAGTATAAAATTCATGTAAAAAAAAAAACTGATCCATTATCCTAGATTGAATCAAGAAGGGGTATACGCCACAAAGCCCTCACTTTGAAGTGCTTTCTTCTTTTCCACAATTTGTGTGTTTTACTGTCGGGGAAAAAAAATACTGATCAAATATTCAAAATGTCAAACAGTCCCTCTGTGGAGAATGACCTTCCTAATGTCTGATAAAGACGGACATCCTAAGTGGTTTTAATGTCAGCTCCTCTCTTCGTCTCCGTCTGTCTCTCTCTTTCCGTTTCCGTCTCTCTCTCATGCAACACCAGTGGGTCAGGACCTAAAATGGGTCACCGGCCTATGTTTAATAGATCCCCATACGACCACAGTGGCGATATGCTTTCAGCACAGGCCCCATGATGAGAGGCTAAATGTTTCATTTGGGTCCCAGGCTGAAAAGGTTTAAGAGCCCTGGTCCTATATGATAGCTAGACCTCAAGCTCTGCGACAGACTGCGAGGGGACAGCGAGTCCTTGGCCTTCACTCTGAGTCTCACCCTGGCACAGCAAAGGGGGTCTGTCCATAGCTGATAAGTGGTTTTAATGTGATCTTCTCTCTCTTCTTCTCTCCTCCCTCTCTCCTCTCCCTCCATTTTCCTCACTACACCCCCACATCTCTTATTCTCGTCTTGCCTCTTCTTCCTCGCGCCCTCACTCTCCCTTTCTCCCCCCCCCCCTCATTTCCCTGCCGCAGATGATGGCTTGGCTCCAGCTGTGTACCATGGGGCTCATGGCCACGATGGCCTTATCCGTCTCTCTCACCATTGCTGAAGACTCTGACCTTCCCATGGCGGAAACAGAGAAACGAGGCCCTGTCGAAATCGTGAAGAAAGAGTCGCATCCCGTCCTGTTCAGACAGAAGAGAGAGTGGATCTGGAACTCTCTCTACGTGGAAGAGGAAAAACCTGCACCCAGTCCCTACAAGATAGGAAAAGTAAGTTACCGTTCAACATTTTGGAAACTCCGTCAGAGTCTGTTCCACTTCCTGGGCCGAGCTTGGTCTTTAAACTTTCAATAATCTCCTTCCCTCGGCTGTATACTCAAATGTATCTGTAGAAATAGCTGGAAGCATGAAACAACTAAATGCTGCAAACTACAAGACAACCCAACTCTTCGGTTTTGTTTCCCCCTCACAGCTGAAGTCCAGCCAGAGAGTGGAGGTGAAGAGATTTAAAATAAATGGTGAAGGAGCGAACACCATCTTCACCGTGGATCACAAAGGAGACCTGTTCGTCACCAGATCTCTGGACCGAGAGGAGAAGAATTCGTACCATCTGATCGCCCAGATGTTTGACGGGAACAACAAGCTCATAGAGGATTCTGGGGAGTTTGTTGTCCAGGTTACAGACATCAACGACAACACCCCTGTGTTCCCCAGAACATACAATGGGTCCATTATGGAGAGGTCCACCATAGGTGAGTAGTGTAACTGTGAAACAAACAATCAGATTCTTGAACACATTTGTAAACACTATGAGCTTCAGTTTGATGTTTAATGCTGTTGCTAATTATTTCCTAAATTGTCTCCAGGAACGAAAGTAGTTGAGGTGAGGGCAACTGATGCTGACGACCCAACCACTGCCAACGGAGAGCTCAGGTATTCTCTGACCCGAGATGGAGACATTTCTGCTTTCCAAATTGACAGCGTCACAGGTCGGTTCAACGTGATCCTGACATCGTCTTTTTCTCAATTTTGTGCAGCTGTAAATGTACAGGCAATTTTTCTTTACTTGAATATAAGTCGGAGTTGAATCCAAATGAATTTCTGTCCGTCTCTCTCTCTCTCTCTCTCTGCAGGTGTGATCAGCTGTAACGTAAACACACTGGATCGGGAAACTAAGAGTCAGTATGTGGTGGTGGTTAAAGCTCAGGACATGAGAGGAATGCCCTCTGGCAGCACGGCCACCACCTCCGTCACCATCACCATCACAGACACCAACGACAACATCGCGTCTTTCACCCGAAGTAAGAAACAAAGGGCCAAAGTGATATTCAAAATTTCAGATTCTTTTTGAACTGCCTCACATTCATTAAACTCGATGTGTAATTTCTCTCTGCAGGGGTCTATGAACTGCAGGTTCCAGAGGACCAGAAGCTGAATGAAAAGATCGGGACTCTGGAGTTGGAGGACAGAGATCAGATCCAGAACAAAGAACCCATCTTTACCATGCCGAGTGACTACAACAAGATGTTTAACATTGAACTGAGCGCCAGCAAGGACGGAAACCTCATGCTCAAACAGGTAGGCGACTCATTGCTAAATATACAAATCAGCTTCTTGTTGGGTTAAACTAGTTTTCATATGCTCCCATGTCACAGCAGTTTGTGTTGAGGTTTTCAAAAAGGTTTTCAGATGTTAATTTATTTTAATTTGGCTTCACACCAACCTGTTATGCACTTAGTTGCCATAGGAACATTCTACGTCTGGTTGGAAAAATCAAGGTTCCCAAAAGCGTGTACATAATAGTTGGGGGTATTTTCTAGCATTGTTAAAGTAAATTCAATGGATGGTTTAAATAGATGCAAACCTCATGTCCAAATAGAGAGTCAGAAAAAAGGAGCCTGTCATTTTTGAAAAATGAAAAGGTGCTCTTTGGCACAGGGCTGGTACATTTAAATAAATCAAGGTAAAATCTTAAAAAGCCTTTATTAGTGGTTGGTGTGTTTGTTCAATTTCTTCATAAAGACGAGGATAAACCATTTAAATTTTAAAATCCAAAATGTTTCTTGTTGCATGAGGTGGTCGAGATGATCCCCTTCCTTCCGAGAACTGGGGACCATAGCATTCAAAGATTCGGGGCTCACGTGATTAAAGTGTCGGTAAAATTCTTTAATGGCATAAACATGTTCAGTGCAAATAGTTCAATAACCAAATTATAAACTTTAGGAGCAGAGATTTGGTTCTGGTTCCTCACACAATTTCTGCAACCACCAATTTATTCCACCAGAAAATTAAACTTGAGGTAAAATGGATGACAATGATCCATTTTACCTGATTCAAACCCAAAGCTGCGGCCTCCTGGCTGGGAGAGATATTCTTACTTGCAGGAACTGCAGCAGGTCGACTTTCTCTGGTCCGTGCTCTTCACATATAAAGTATTTAGGACATCAGAGAGTTGGAAATGTATTCTAATGAAATGAGCTCTGTAATAGCTTGTATCCACGCTGGCCTGGAATCGAATCACACAACTCGCCCCTCAGCCTCTCTCATCTTCCTCACCGGCTGTGTTTACATGTAGAGTTTAAGCCGGCTATCGGCCACACTGCGGTTAGGTCTTATTCTCGTTAAGCTGTTTACACGTGCCTTTGATACCCTGTGACTATCCGTGTTGCCATGAATAATCCAGTTAACAGAATATTCCTGTATACCTGTGGTGTCCCATTCACAGATAAAACAGAAAAAGCGCATTTAAGCGAACAGTAAGCTATTTCTAATACAGGGTAAATAAATGATAATCCCAGCTGAAATGTGACAGTAAGCACAGCTCGCTGTCACGTATTTGTTGACATGAAAGTGTATCCACAAACACGTCACAGTATGCAAGTCTCAATTTGTGCAGATGTTGAAAAAAATGAAAGGAATGAGGAATTTCATGCTTCGGTAAAATATTTAACACGGAGCGAAAAAGCTGGCGTTTTAGTGAGTCTGTTAAATCCAGACTTTGAACCGAGGCACGTTGTTTTAGCCGAGTTGGAACATTTAGAACGTTTTTACACCTGGAATCCAACAGCTGTGCTGAGTGCACAGACGCAGGTGTGAATGCACTCAGGATGACGATAAGAGGGGTAGTTGAGAAACAGAGTGCAACTGCAACGTGATCCGAAGAGAAAGAAAATGGAGAAAAATGTGCCAATATACACAGTTTTAAGGAAATATTAATTCCATAGAAACACATGGAAAAACATTAAAGTCAGCTCTTTAAAACATGTTATTTTAATGTGCAGGTGTTCAGTGAGTGTGATGCTTTCTGTTGAGAGAAGTTCAGGATTTAAATGTGATGATGTTGTGTCTACAGCCCAGCTGCGTCAGATTTACACAGCATGGATATGAGGTGCATGTGTAATCAAGTTAATAAAGGCATTTAAAAATCTTTGAAATATCTCAGACATACAGTCAGGGTTTGTGCAAGTTGCAACAAGCTCAATTTGAATGAAAAGTTAAGTAAAGCAAATCCAAAACTCAAGCAGCAAACTCACTAATGGAACCAGGAGCAAAGCGAAACATGAATAAGCACAAACAGGGAACATGAATAAACATAAACTCAAGATGTGAATCAACAAAGACGACTGAGGAGCACGGAGACTAAATACACAGAGAGGGAACTGAACACAGGTGACACACATCAGGGCAGACGATCACTGAGGAGGGAAACCAGACAAAGACAGGAAGTAAAGCAAGACACACGAGGGAAGAAATGTCAAAGTAAAACAGGAACTAACAAATTCCAAAAATTCCAAAATAAAGGGCCTGACTAGGTCAAGAAAGGAAATGCAAAACTAGAAAACTGATTGATTTTGATCAATACAACATCAAATGTTCTGATTTCTATTGTAACTCGTTGGCTGATGACCCTTCACCTCTCCCACCAGGCTCTGGACTACGAGACGATGAACAGCTACACCTTCTCCGTCCAAGTGCGAGAAAACCTGAAAAACCTGCGATTTCCTGCCGACAACGTGAACAGCGCCGTCACCACAGCTCAGGTTAATCTCACACAGGACACCAGTCGTCTTTAAGCCTTCCTCCGTGAGATCTTATCGCCCTGCTGTTCATTAACTGTCTATTAAAAATGTGAAAGAGGAAAAACACTGAACCTGAAGCTGATAACGAGGGCAGACATGTTCAGTGCGTGGCCTCGGCTGCTTTTATGAGCGATCAGTATGAAGTCAAAGCTGTCTTTCAATGAACGGTTTGAAATTGACAGGTAACCATCAAGGTTGTGGACGTAGATGAGCCTCCAGTCTTCTCCCTGCCCATCTACACCTTCACTGTGGTGGAAGAGCGGATGGTGAACAACATCGGAGTAATCAAAGCCACGGATCCTGACAGAGCCAAGATGTCCATACGGTACAGTGCTGTGCAAACCATCAAAAGTAACGTGTGTAGTTCATTACTGTGCAGAGTGAGTCACAACGAACCTCTGCTCTCTTTGTGTTTAGGTACTCCATCTTAGACAAAGACTGTCCTGTCAGTATCAACCCGTTAACAGGTCAGCTGTCCACCCTGAGGACGTTGGACAGGGAGCTGGAGGCCACACACATGTTTCAAGTCAAGGCGCAGGAGGAGCCGAATGGTACGTCTCACACACACACACACACTCACACACACACACACACTGCACGGGTTTATTAATCCTGTTTCCCCTAAACAATAGATGCTCACTTAAAGAAATGAGAACCATATGTTTCCGCTAACGACAGCAATGTGCAGGGAGGGAGTGAGAACAAGCAAAAAGAAGACAGTCTGTTCTTCTTATTCACTGAGCAGCTTCTCTGAATTTCACCAAAGACGGGAGTGTGAGACATTAACAGAGATTTTTATAGATTTAACACTTTGCCAAAACACCTGGTCGACCCACACGGGGAGGAGAGAGTGAGCAGGAAAATCACATTAGTGGCTCTCTTTGTTCACTTGCAGCTCCCAAACCAAACTCCGTATTTTTAGACCAGCAATGAATGAAATCCAAAGATCTATTTCGGTGGCTTGTCACGATGTTTAAGGAACACAATGGTCCCCTGAGCTTGACAAGGTCCTCGATATACAGTGCATGTACTGTACTAAAGATAGTTTCAAAAAACGGGCAGGAAACACGTTTATCAAAAGATGAATATTCAAAAACAGAATGTAAAAAGCTGCCAAAAAACAAGTGGTCTGACAAACAGCTCACGGTGAGAAGAAGCTTTGAATGGGTTGACCTCTGTCACTGGTCCTGTTCAGACCTGGTATCAATTTAAAATCCGTCCTGAGTGATCCAATCAGAAGTGCTGTAATGTCACGATGACCAAATTCACGTTCATGAGCGATCACACCAGCACCTGTGACGATCACTCTTGAAAAAACGATCACTCTCGTTGTTACCAGGTCTGAAAGGCGTCACTGTCTGATGTTTAACACAAACAACCCCTGCATCGAACATCTCCATCATTACAATTCCCTGCAGTTAATCGTGTGTTGCTGCCTCTCCTCTGTAGGTTTGGAGTCATTTGTAAAAGTCAACATCATAGTTCAGGACATTAACGACAACAAGCCCGAACTGGCAGTGGAGGACATCTTTGTGTGTGAGAACGACGTCACTAATACAGTAAGAAAGACCTGTTTATATTAGTGTATCTCTCACTTTCAATTGTGTTTGATTCATTTCCTCGTGTCATTCAAAGTGTGATCAATATGCTTTGTTATCATTTATTGCCGTATAACTTCTGTACTGAAAAGATAAGTATAAACTGGGTATGAAATATGAGCCCACGATGACTTAGTTTAATTAGATTTTTTTGTGTTTCCTCAGGTGGTAGGAACTTTGAGAGCCACAGATAAAGATGACCAGCCGGCTTCTTTCAGTTTCAGTCTCAACAGTGAGAGCTCCAACTTCTCCATCAGAGACTACGGCAGTAAGTCTCTTTGTGTGTGTGTGTGTGTGTGCACTGAGCGTTTATTTACCTTCCTTGTCTTTCTCATTCCTTATAAATGGTGCTCGAAGAAAGCACCGGCCTCGGCACTTGTTGCTATGCAACAACTGAAACTCCTTTTTGAAGCACGGTGCTCTGTTGCTGAAATTTGAAATTATTTTAACTTCTCGCAGCCTGACGGGGGATTTAGAGAGGCTGTCTGGGACCGTGGGTGTTGACTAGAATGCACAACAGCAAATATTGAATATAATGAGACCAAGTGGCTCTGTGGACTCACGGATGGCCGTCATGTGATCTGGAGGATGTTAAAGAAACATGTCACACACACACACACAGTGCTGGTGCGGTGCTTTTTAAAATAAAATCATACATGCAAAACTATGCCAGAGGGAATGTAGGGATATGCATGAGAGTACTTGTTAAATAAATTAGTTTTTGACGGTGAGTAAATTGTTTTCAGTCCAAAGATGTTCGATAACCAGAAACTTCAGAGGCTTGAGATTACAATATGAAAACTTTACAGATTCCATCTTAGGGATACATGAACTTTTTTATCTAACAAACGTCACTAAATGAAAGATTATTAAGATTCATCCACTGGTCACCATGATTATCTATCAACAGCAGTCCACCTTCTGTCAGCCGGGATCAAACAAGTGACAGACTTTCATTATTAGTGTACCTTGTTTTAAAAAAAAAGAATCTTCTGATACACAACATGATATATTTATGTATAATTAAATATTTCAACACACTTTTTTCCCCTAGTCTTTCCAAGAGTACCAGCTCCATTATACTTTGAATATTGAACATACATTAAAAGAGAGTATTCTGCTTCCAAGAGATTAAAGCAGCATCTATTTTCAGCCGATCTGGATCCATCTAAGACTAAAAATCTGTGGATATAAATGTACAATTTGAAAAACTATCAAGTAGAAAAACAGGCTGTGACACAGATGACAGTAAAAGGCATTGTCTTTGATCCAGACACTGATATTTAGGTAAAGGTTGACGCTCTGTTACGTCAGATATCCAGATTTGGTTTCGACAGTTAAGGACACAAAACGGCACAAGTAAAACAGTTTTCATCTTTTTTGATCATCACTATCACACATGAAAGCCCTGAGGAGACGTGTTACCAACTGTTACAGTCAAATATTAAAAGTTTGAATAGACGAGAGCCGGAGGTATCGTCAGATGAAAGATTTAGGTGAAGTGTTACTATTTCATTCAAGATAAACCGGGGGAGGAAAAAAAAACAAGGCATGAACTTGCCTCATCCATTTCCTCCCTGCTCCCGCCTGGAGGTGCTGACATGTGGAGCCGGTGGAAAGCAGGGAAAGACGGAGCAGAGAAAAAAAGGAGAGGAGAGACAGAGGTGGAAGAAAAGATGAAAGGAGGCGAGAAGAAGAGATTAAGATTAAGGGAGATGGGTAATTCTGAAGTGAGACCGTGTTAAAGTGAAGAGAGGCGGTAAACATTATCGAGAATAATAACGAGGGATGAACAGAAGAAAATGTGGATGAATGAAGACTGGAGAAAAATGAAGGATAGAAGTTTGTAAGAAAGAAGGAAAGGTACAATTTAATTTAGGTATAAATTAGACAGGACAGGAGATGACAAATAAAGAGGAGAGAAGAAAAAAGAAAGGGTGGGGAATGAGGAAGAAGAGAAGATGGGGACAGAAATCCAAGGAGGAAATGGAGGAAAGTAATCAGACAAAAAAGAGAGAGGATGACAGGACAGGAGATGACAGAGAAAAAGAGGAGAGTAGAGGAGGGAGAAAGGACGAGGAAGAAACGAGGACAGTGGTAAAGTGGAAAGACGAGGGGGAGATGAGATGAGGACACGATGAAAGAGGAGACGATGACTTCAGAAACATGAAATGTTTTAATAGAGGGAGAGGGAAGAGGGAGACGGGATGGATGAGGGGAGGGAAAGTGAAGTGGGAAGAACGAGGGGAAAAGGTGAGGGGGAGACAAAGAGGAAGAGAGGAAGAGGAGGTGGAGGGCTGTTTGATAAGTGCTGGTTTTCAGTGTGAACCTACGTTGTCCCCTGTGGCTCATGAGGGTGGCCTCTGAAAAAATGATCTGACAGCACCTCACACACACACACACACACACACACACACACACACACATTCAACAAGAGCTGCAAAGTGAAGGCTTTTAAAATATTTATCAGCTACCAGCTCTTTAAAACTTGCAAAAAAAACAACCTTGCTTTCATTAAGGGATCCAAACACACACCGACCACATGCACACACAATACCGTGCAGCTCCCAGAGTGAAGTGACAGGTCTTGGTGTTCAGGCCAGGCGGCTACAAGAAGACACGAGAGAGGAGGAGGAGGAGGAGGAAGGAAAACAAAGAGACGAAGAGGGAGAAAAAGGGCTAATGAGAAGTGGGAGCAGAGAGATGGAAGGAACAAAAGAAGTGTGGAAAGGACAGGGAGACGAATTCGGGAAATCCAGGGAGATGGAAGAGAGGTGAATTCAAACAAAGGAGGAACAGGAGACGAGACGGAGAGGAGGGATGAGACGAAGGGAGGACAGAAGCTGCTTTCATCATTTATTCAGTTAGTTAAGGCTTCGTCGTGTCCTCCCACTCACACACACCTTCATGTTGTCATGTCGACAATAACGAGATGATACAGTGGAGAGCGTTAAACCCTCACTCTTCCATTAAGAGGTCAGATTTACCAGTTTACAGGAAAATAGCTGTAGTGGTGTCCGACCGATGAGACGTGAACTTTTGTCCCGTTAACAAACAAACTAATGAACTCGCTCGCTGTTGCCAAATTGTCCCGCACTTACTGCTGTCGCCTAGCAACGGACCTGGAGTTGGACTGAATGTAAAAAGTTAGCATCATTGGAAACTATTAGCTTTTCACTTGATTTGAAGCCTGATCCTTATTTTTTCTAATTTACGCATAAATATCAGGCCTGATTTTCTTCATCGAGATCCATGAATCAGTCCCTGGGACTCACACTGGTAAAATGGAAAACAAAAATGGAAAACAATTCCCCCAAATGTGGCCCATGTCCCATAATTCTGTGAAGTTTTGTGGACATTTGTTCTGTAGTTTTTTAGTAAACCTGCTGACAAACAAAAAAACATCCAGGTGGAGGTAAAACCCAAACCCCCCTGGTGGAGGTGAAGTGGTAAAGGTGTAAAGTAAGGTGCAGACGAAGGTGCAAAGTGGAAGAAGCAGGAAATCAAACCCATCATGCAGGTGTGAAATTGAAGCTAAAATAAAGTTGCAACTCGGATTAAGGTCAAACTAAAGCTGCGTTTTCAAGCAGTACACAACTACTACATCTCATATCTCCTGTATTCAACGTCCAGTATGTGCAGATGTCAAACACCTCGATTTTCTGTTTATATTCAAACTTGTCCTTTAACCAGCGTTTACTGTTTCTTTGTCCGACAGTTTCTCAGTGTCTAAGTAACTTTAAGTGTTCTGAGGGGTCTTTCCTGCCATTGTGTTCTCCAAAATTCCTCCAGCGGTGGGATATTGTGGAGCCCTTGGTCTCAGCAGGAAACTTCTTCCTGCCAAGGGTTTGAGTAATGACTGCATTGTTGGTCAGGTTTCTCTCAGGCTGCCTTCACGTTTCTGGTCTCTCTTTGATCCACTGTTGCAGGTTTTTAAGCTTCTGCCACTATCTGTAATCCTAAATGACTCAAATCCTAAATGCACCAAACTGACAGATAATCACAAATGATCTGTTGTGCCTTTATGTAACGACTCTTCTCGCTGTCACGTCTCGTATCTTGTTTCATCTGCGGAGCTCGGCGCTGTATAAATAGACCATAGACGGAGCAGGTGAGCTTTAGACACGCTTCTGTAAACCCGAGGTGATGAGTGACAAATATCAGAGCGATTTTTCAGGAGGAGGGAGAGGAACATTTGTGTTTTGATATTTTGTACACTCACCGTGAGTATTTATGTCTTTCCGTGTACAGATAACACAGCAGACATCTTGGTGAAACAAGGCCCGTTCAGCCTGGATGACCCCAAAGATTACAACGTGGTCGTACGCGTCAGTGACGGAGGACGACCCGTCCTGACCAGCATCACCACAGTGGCAATCAAGGTCTGTGTGATGTCGTAAAACTGCAAATTCATCGACTAATTCAAAACGTTTTATTGCCGTAAAACTCAAATCTTATGAGTTAAATTGCTCTGATTGTGCTGGAGTGAGTGACTGATTGATCGCCTGTGTTACCCGATGTAGTCGTGTCGCTGTGGCGCCAGGAGGAATCCCGAGCACTGCAAAGCCAGCGCTCGGAGGATGTCAGTGAGTGTCCAAGCCCTCATCGCCATCCTGCTCTGCATACTCACCATACTGGGTACGTTTACATTTTTAACTTCTGTCTTTCATCGTCTCCTTTTTTGCTACGAGGATTTTCACGTTGTAGTCGGACCAGAAAGGTTTCAAACAAGTTTGACGATTAAATAACCGAAAGGTGTGGTGTTAGAGAGAGACGATCGAGAGAAGATGGCAGAATATTCTGGATATGAACGCTGCCATCTGGTGCATTTAGGGCAGGGATGGATGTATCATCAAGTATGGATGTATCAAGGGCCGGTTGATAGATGCACAGGACCATTAGTGAGTCAGTCTCAACTATCAATCACATTTCAACCCGTTTTTAAATCATCAAATAACTATATAAAACCAAACACTTAAACATAGATGAAGTGTGATAAGCGTATTTTGACTTTTAAGTTATGGTCCACGTCCAATCCACTGACATGGAGGAGGTAGGTTTATTGAATATGAACCTTAAAGCATTTCTTTACACACTTAACATATCAAATATTTTTGCACCTATGCTTTTTGTTATTTTAATTTTCTTGAAACATGTGATTCAGGTTTAGAAAACTACCATTCACACAGTAAATGAGCTGATGTGTATCCAGCCAGAAGTAAAGCTGTGCAGATCAGAGTCTGTCAAGGTTCTTTGTTCACATCTTGCCTTACAGAGGAAAATCCCCGTTCAGTGTTCCCAGATGAGAGATGTAAATAATTGCGTTTCATTTTAATTTGCCGGTAAAATAGTTTTTAAAACATTATCTCCTGTTTACTGAAGCTGGAAGTAGGAGAAGTAAACACGTCTGAATCACAATCAAACGTATACATTCCAAAATAAAATGCCAAACTTCCTGTGTGGCTCCGGGTTTGTTTAGTGTTCGCCAAACATTAATGTATGGGCACTCGAGAAATGTTTAGCTTGAATCAGAGCGGAGAAAAAAAATCATGAGAAAACTCTGGTTGCAGGTGATTTTTGCTTCTTTGGTCTTGACTGTCGACAAAAAGGTGCAAGAGACTTTTCTTGAACCCACAGAGTTTTTATTCTCCGAGGTGAATTCACGAAGACGACATCACTGATAGATTCAAGGCGCCGGGGTTGGGTGATTAGGACGTGCGCTCGCTCGCTTTGCGATAAATAAGATTTGAGTTTTGTGGGGAACTTTCCCGCTCCTGGTGTTGTTGGTTTTATGAATAATGCAGCGGCGGATGTGGAAATAATGCCTGTGGTTGTGCGCTCAATATTCCCTTTGATACCTTCGCCCCCCCCCCCCAACTCCTCTTTTTCTTCTTCTTTTTCTGGGGGAAAAAGAGACAGTTGTCATGTTGGATGAGTAGCACACGCTGGAGATAGTTGGCTAAACAAGAGGGATCTGGGATGAGAAGTGCTGCGGAAGAAAAGAAGAAGTTAAAGATGAAGAAGGACGGAGGCGGAGTGACGGATGGAAGAAAAAATAAAAACTTGACAAAGATATGGGAGGTGGAGACGGGGCGAAGCAGGCAGACAGACGAGAGGCGAGCGAGACAGATATGAGACAGAAGGAGGTTAAAGGAAGGGAGACGGCGAAGAGGAGGATTGTGGGAAAGGCGGCAGAAGAATGGGAGTGGTAATGAGGAGAGTTTATCAGCTCTTTAGGTTCCGTCTGCTTATCAAACACGAGCAAACACTCAACCTATTAACTATTAATACTCTCCTTCACTATCGCTCCCCCGTTTTTTTCCCCTTCCATCTCTCTTCTTCCTCTCTTTCCCTCTGGGTCTCCCACTCTCTCTCTCCACCTCCGTCTCTCCCTCTTTCTGTCTCTCCTTCTTCTTATCAAACACCCCCAACACAGGCCAGATTAACTATTTAATGCACTTGTCATTATCTGCCAGGGCCCAAAGCGATTCACTGCGTCGCCCATTCACAGACGCATTTTCTCACAAGGAGCCGGGTGTGATGCACCAAAAGACGTTTTTTTCTCAGTCGTTTTTCTACAAAGAAAATGGAGCTTCGTCTTTTTTTCCCCCCCTTCGTTCCTCCATAAGTCTGATATCTCCAGAGCTTATTAAACTGCAGAGCATGTGTTGTAAAAGATTAATCTGTTGGTTTCCCATGCAAACTTGAATTAGTCCCGCTCGCCCTCAACTAAAAGGCATGGCTAATGCTGCCCGTCCGCGGAGAGAGAAAGAGGTTCATATCAGGACTGAGGCTTGGGGCCTAATCTAATGTCAAACGTATCCTCCGTCTCTTTCCTTCTCTCCTCATCCGTCTTCTTTCAAGATTTCTCTTTTTTCTTTCTTTCACGTTGTCGTTCAATCAGTCGTTGGCTGCTCCCCCCTTGTTTGTTTCTCCTTTTTCTTTTTCTCCTTTGTTTTTGCTTCCCTGTCCTCATTCCTTCTCTCCAAAGCTCACATGCAGGACGTAAGCAGGACAAACTTAAGCTGATGTAACCCACTTTCTTATCTACAAAGTTGAGACGAAATGTTTTCATTCCTTGAACCAGGTTTAATGTCGTCATACAGGGTGTGAGTCTGTATTTTGTTTCTCCTCGTTACTTCTTCTCTGGCTGTAGTTTCTCAGTTTCACCTTGAAACACGCTTTAATATTTCTGGCCCAGATGTAGTTGAGCAGTAAAAATTAATCGCTCCAGCCTAGACTGAGTCAGTTTCATACAATCTGGTGTTAAAGGCCAACTATCCGTTATTCCAATTAGTATTATTTTAAACATATTGGACTTTTAAAAGCAAACTGTTGCTGTCGCACACTTCTCTCCAACCCCAGCGGTAATTTTCCTTCTTTTCTTTTACGTTCCTGCACAAATTATACCATAAATCAATAGTCATGGGTTTGAAAGCGTTGTGGCTCTAATCCAAGTCTCTTGCACATATTTTCAATGTATGCACTCGGTACTTTGAGAGACTGGGCGTTAGCTTTGGCGGAGGTTTGCTGCGTCCAGCTCTCCTCTGTTTTGGGTTAAAGACCAAAGTTGACTGTGGGTAGGAAATGACAGAAGCAGTATCTGTTGACCCTTCCATCCATCCTGATCTACTTCCTACTTCTGTGGACTTTGTGCTTCGACAACAATGTGATGCTCCTTCCATCTTGGCTCCTGTTGACTCATGAATCCTACAGGTGTCTGACGTGTTTGTCATCTGTTTTGGGCATTTTCTCTAAAGATTTAATCGCTGTCTTTACTCTCTTACTTCCTTTCCTCTGCTTCCCCTCCTGTCTTCAGCCCATTTTCTCTCTGTTTATGTCTTTATCAGCTGCCAGGTCCAACCTTCCTTTCATTCTTTCTGTCTCGGCCTCCTCCACCTTGTTTTCTTAAACTCATTTCCACTTCCCCTCCAGTATTTACTGAATCTTTCTTCCTCTCTCGTGCCCCCCCTCTCTTCTCTCTCCCTCTGTGTCTGTCTGTCTCCTGGCTGAGTGGATTCATTTGTGGTTTTGATGCTCGGGGCGAAACGTCTCAGACACCTTAAACCATCCGCTCCTCATTTTCCCCACAATGCTTGCTGTGTTTTCTAGTCTCTTGTTGCTGCTCCACTTTCCTCACTTGTTTCACTGCCCCCATCCGTATTCTGTTCTGGTTTTTATGGCCTAATTTTCTCTCATGTTTTTAAATTCGTGGAACTGTTGGTGTGTGTTTGTGTTCTTCTGGGGATGTCCTCAATTTTTATCAAATTGTTTTTAATTTCTTCAGCAGATGAGGATTTTACATCTTTTATATATGGCCTGAATACATGAGTTGGTTTTCTTCGTCATCTTATTTTTTAAGCTTGTGGTTTCCTAGAACGCCTTTTGCAAACTTCACTGTTACAAGGCCAGACCTCAAATACATATAACTTGAGCAGCACCTGAGATTGAATATATTCCAATTAAATCATATCATATTTCCACTGCTGCACTTTTCAGTCATCGTGATCCTGTTTGTGATGAGGAAACGCTACCAGAAGGAATCTCTGGCCAGTATGAAGAACAGCGGCGAGATCCACGAGCAGCTGGTCACGTATGACGAGGAGGGAGGAGGCGAGATGGACACCAACGGGTAAGTCGACGTGAAAACGAATGTTCCTGCTCCTCGTATCTTCTCTGTTGTTGTAACTTGTAAAACTTTGACTAACATCAGTGAGAACTAAAGGAGAATCATAAAACACACAACAAAAAACCATCAGAGCCGTAAATACTCCTCATGAATATTTCCGATTGTGTTGCATTCAACTGTGTAGTCATATTTAAAGTTTGAATACTACAAATATATTCATTTCTTATTCATTTTCATTCCTTTCTTGTTACATTTCCTCTCTGATGATATGTTCTGCTTTGACACTTACTAGAAAGTCATTCACTGTATTAATTCTTCTCCATCTGCAATATTTATCCTCTTTTATGTATCCTTCAATTTGCTGACCCAGTTTACTCAACAGAATTCATTAAACTTTAATCTAATCTGAATCCAATCCATCTATTTTTAAATACTATGAAAACCATTCATAATCCTATATACCATCCATATGAGCAGCACCATATGCTGTGTGAAGGACGTGCTGACGACCGGGGGAAAATAGAAAAACACTTAGCACAGGAAGAGCAGTGAAGACAAACAGCAGTAAAGTACAGTGAATCATTTTTATTGATATTTCTGCTCTCATCCTGTTAAAAATGGGCGAGACTGAGGGTTTTAGAAAACACCTCCCTGTCTGTTTGTGAAATAAAACTAAATATCACATTGTTTAATCCTATTTTATCTTTTTATTCCCTCTTATATATATTTTTTTCATTGTTTATTGTCCTTATTTTGTTTTACATATTAAAAAATAATCAGTTTAACTCAGCTTAAAGGACTTAAATTATTAGTTTTGTTGTTTTTTGTAATCTTGCTTAAAAAAAACCAAACAGAACCGCCAGCTCTCACCTGATCAACATGTATGATTCTCCTCTCTTTTAGCTACGACGTCTCAATCCTCAGCTCCGCTTGCCACGACGGCTCCCTGCTTCGCCACGCCGACCGCCACCCCCACCCCTCCCTCTACGCCATGGTGCAGAAGCCCCCCCACCCCACCGCGTGCAAGGGCGACATGGCGGCGATGATCGAGGTGAAGAAAGACGAGGCGGACCACGACAGAGACGGCTTCCCGTACGACACCCTGCACATCTACGGCTACGAGGGACCCGAGTCTTTGGCCGGCAGCCTCAGCTCCTTGCAAAGTTCCTCCACCGGCTCGAACTTGGATTACGACTTCCTGAACGACTGGGGGCCGAGGTTCAGGACCCTGGCGGAGCTGTACGGAGTGGACGAATCCGACTATTACCATCAATACTGATGGACGATGTCGAGCGTAGATGATGCCAAAACACACACATGTACAATATGGCCATAAAAATACACACACGATAACAATTAGTCACACACACACACACACACACACACACACACATATAGAACCACGCTTTCATGCTGTCCACTTTGTTTCTGGGCGAGGAGCTTCCGATTGCAGACGTCTGTGTTCCCCAAAGACGCCTCTGGATTCTAGAATCAGGGCGCTCTCGTTTCCAGAGTAACTTCAACTAACTTTTGTTGTCGAGTGTAATTCACTAGTTTGTTGACCCCCCCCCACCCCCCAAAAAAAGAAAGCTGAATCAAGGTTTTGCGAAATGACTCATTTCTCTCTTTTTTGTGAAAAGATGTTGGAAGGAGTCGACGGAAAGATTTTTAAATTTGCACCCAGACAAGCAGCTGTCGGACAGAGTCCTCCACAGATTTTCGAAGAGCATCTGTTGTTGACGACAGCGTGAGGTCGTCATGAAGATGTGTTTTATTCCATCACCGCCATCAAAGCTGATCCTGGGTAATTGATGATCTCATCAGGTTACCGCGAACCAGCAATGTTTTTCAGATTCTTAATGCTCTCACTGATGTCTCATATTCACAGCACCATTTTGCATCCCATTTCCTCACCCATACATGCATGAATTACTACGTGTAAAAGTCTCTTTTAGGCCTTTTCTACTCTGTTGCGGATATTTTTTGAACAGATATTTTTTAAATCATAAAAATGTAAATGAAAAAAAGACAAATGCTTAAAACAACTGGAAAAAATGACTCAGTTTTAGTTACTCGCTGTTTCCGTGTGGACAGAGAGAACTCCTTTCTATGCACTTATATTCATCTACATACACACCCACCAATATCTCTTAGTGTGGGTATATACAACATCTCTAAACAAAAGCAGCCAACTATGGAATCACCCTCTAGCTGCTGGACTTGACATATGAGCACGTCTTGGGGTTTTATATCTGAATTCAACACAGATGACAGTTTTCAGTTTATTTACGTCTTACCGGAGATGCAAAATGGTGCATTGTTGATTTTAAATTCTCCTTATTTCTTTTTGTCTGTGTTCTCCTTAAACATTGTAGTTTCTTTATATTTGAAAAATGATTTTAGTTTTGATCTGAGCTGGACCATCTGATTTGTAAATATCGTCCGTTCTTGTTGCTGAGGTGATTGTTTGATCACAGCGAGATGCCAGCTGTGTTTTGTTCGTACTAAAATCTGCACGGGAGGTTTAACTGTGAAAAGCTCCCACTGTTCATAAGCCTATGATGTGCTGAGGTTGTTTTTTTTTTTTTTTACAGTTTAATCGCTAATCAACATTTTCTTAGATTCATCTGTAAGGAGACGTATGATACTTTTCAGTTTTTAAAGTCTGATACAAGAGTCGTCATTTTCTTCTGCGAGAGGAGAACAATGGACAGACAGACAGAGGAAATGGCAGTATCGCTGCTCAGACAGAATTACAGCGAGTTCCCAGGTTTTATTTGACAGAACATATCATCACAGTTATTGTTGAGATGAAAGCCCCAAATCTCTGAGGCCCTTAAGAACAAAAGTCATTCAGACAACTCAGGAAACTCTGAGTGGCAAAAGTAGCTAGTTGGGAAGCTGTGATGGCTCGAATAACTTTAACCTCTCATCCTTTTTGGCTACTGACTGGTCTGAGATCAGAAATTACCATTTTTAATCCGATTCTGGAACAAAAACCAGTGGACTGGTCCTTTATACACCAGGCTTGGATCCTTTCACCTGCACAGATCGATGTATTGTCTGTATTCTCACAATACGACAAACAAACAGATGAATGGTTTATCATATTGGGCTGAGTTGTTGTTGTTAAAGAGTTTCTGAATTCACGCAGGAAGGCGACAGCTTGTTAGAGTGGGATTTCTTTTTCATATGGAAGAATGATAACTCTCCTTAAGGCTATTCTGACATCCCCATTGTGAATTATTACAATTTATATTGATGTAGAAACTCAAATTTAAGAAGGAGAGTGTTTGTCACTTTTTTCTTGACCAGTGATTCAACGATGATCAAATTAACAAAATAGCTTTTGTTGATTGACAAATATTGTTCCAGCCTTATTATGAGATAATCCTGACAATGACAATCATTGTGGCCGCCTGCTCGTTAGAAACCTGTGGTCGTGTCCTCTGATGTCCTCTGATGAAATTAAAGACATGCTGTGTATTCCCTGTTTAGAAATAAGGAACAGGGACGCTGCAACAGGGCAATTGCCTGGGGCCCCGAGCTGAGAGGGGGGGNGGGGGGGGGGTACCCAAGAACGGCTGATCCACTGCAACGACAATTTTATTTGTTCTCCTGTTTATTCTGTTTTGCTTGGAGTTGAACTTGTTTCTTTAAATCTCCGGCCTGCTTGGAATGCCATCTGTAAACGCTGGATACAATAGCTGGAAGCGCTGTCAATGCTTTCCTGTTGGGTTCACATATATTCTGAGAGCAGCCTGATTCCTCCGCTCTTTCTCTCGTTCTCCTGCTCTCTCGTTGTTTGCCTCACCGACTCCCCCTCGTGCCGCCGTTCTCCCTCCGCCCTTTAATCAGCTAAACCAAACAGTGGTCTTAGCTTCCTGTCCATCTGGGGGTGGGTTGTGCCCGCCCCTTCCTGTCTGCGTTATCTCTCTCCTGAGGCGACACATTGTGCTCACTTCCTGTTTGGGAAGCAGCCTCAGCCTTGGAGAGGAAAAAGGAGAAACCTGGGATGAGGTTGAGAAAGATGTTGAGCCACGATGAGTTTTCCAGCTGAGCCGAATCTCCTCAGCGCAGAGATGACGCAACATCCCGTTACGATGGCAAAATCTGAAATCGATATCCATTACCCTCAGCCGAGTCTTCAAATTTACCAAAAAGTGGCATCACAAGAAACGTGTTGTTTTAAAATCCAAAGAACTTTTATTCTTTTTCATATTTCTTTTTAATTTTTATCGGTTTTGCACTGTTGAAGTTACATTTCAATCACATATAAGCCATTTATTTCAAAACTATATATTTATTACAGCTCTTATTGCTTTGGAACCCATTTCCAAAATAACATTCTGGTTTTTAAAAGTAACGTCTCCATTTACTGAACAAACAATGATTTACTTTTCTGACTTTTGCCTTTGAATCAAAGAATAAGAGAACAGACTCCAAACTTGAGAAAACACATTGTTGTTGTTTCAGACTCGTGGCTCTCGAGGAGACAGTATTAACTTTGCTTTTGTGTATTATCACTTTTGTTTTTTTTTAAAATAATGGATATGTGAATAAAACAATCAGCCGCCTGTAGCAGACAGCGATGCTCCATTATCTTCTCTCCAAACAGCAATAAGTGAGGGGTGAGCTTAGGGTGAACAAATCTGAGACTGATGTGTAATTTGCCAACATTTTCTTTTTTTTATACTTATTTTTATGTGCAATTATTGAACCCTAATATCTCAAATGCATTGGTGGTTCTGTAATGTTTGTATTCTATCTTTTGTTGTGTGGCTTTCATAAGAGCCAGTCCAGGTTTCCACACCCTCACATGTACTTTCACGTCTTCCTCTTTGTTTTGTGTTTATGTGAAACACATTTCAGCCGCCAGTCTTTTCCACTGTTTTTTAAGGTCGGTTCAAATCTCTCAGGTTTGAGTCTCCGGGAAAAAAAATAAAATAAAAAGTTTACCATTATGTCAAGAAAAAAACCATCTCATTAAAAAAGACATTCTGTTAAAATACATATCTCTAACTGATTTTAATTGGAATTTCATCTGTGTTCTCATGTGTTGTTAAGGAAGCATATACTTTGAGTGAAATGTATATATATACATATATATATATATATAAACTGTGCCTAATATTGTTATTTTCTCTGGTTTCACCTTGTTTATTTTATGTTTTGCCTCATTTAGAAGAAGTTAAACTGATAGAATCTCTTTATTGCTGTAAAAAGTTTGAAAAATATCTTCAAATCACAGAGTGAATAGTGTCTGTTGTGTGTGTGTGTGTGTGTTTTTGTGTGCTAGCAGTTGTACCCATGTACATACACACAAAAAAGCGTCAAACCAATAAAAATAAGACCCACATAGATTTTTCTTGTGTAAATACAGTGAGGGTATTCAGAGGAGAAACATGTGCCTTTATTCCTTAAAAAAAATACTGTAATTCTTTTTTTTGATGGTGAACACAATGTTTTTATATTGTTTTTATGGTGTATAACTACTTTTTATTACCTGACATTTTTGTAAGTGCAGAATAAAAATAAACACTCAAATATGTTTTCTCATCCTGTGATTGGTGCTGAACACTTTTACTCCTGAATGTAATCCGAGTGCATATCAATATATAATTTTTATATTTTCAGTGTACTCCTATCGGTTTGGAAGTAGTTACCCTTTACTTTTCCAAAAGTTTATATTCACCCCACTACAAATCCACATGTACCCATTCATACAGCTCCTCTAAACACAAGAAACTTAATACAGTCAGTTGAAGGAAATAGTTTAAGTTGATAATGTCGAAGGCGTCCTCCAACCAGAAGGTCCGTAGCACGAATCCCAGCCCATGCCGAAGTTCCCTCGGGCAAGAAGTTGAACCCCGATATAGCAAACCCAAAAGATAGCTTGTATTCATAAAGAAACTTTAGTTTATGATATATATAATATATATATATATAAATAATTGTATTAAAAAAATTTGAGAAAAAAATGACATCATGTGTTTTTAATGACAAAGTCGAGGAAGGTGGAATTTCCTGATATAACCAAAGCACGGCTCGGGTCAGGAACATGATTTGTAGCAGATTTTCACTAACAGACCATAAATGTAAAGGTTGAGTGTTGACAGTTATCTGAAAAACAAAAGAACGTATATATTACCTGTCAGTTTTTATACAGTCACTGTTTTTTTACAGCTCAGATTCCATGTGGTGAAGATCAGCTCCGTTTCTCTGTGTAAAACGATCCAACATGTCAAATCGAGCGGCCGTGAGCAGAAAGCTCTGATCTCCACCACCTTGATCTCTGACATGTGATCACATGTCAGATCCACTGTTTTTTAACCCAGGTGTAAATCCACCGCAGGCTCGTGCAGTTTTATTTTTGTAAGGGCCGGGGGATGGAGGGGTCAGATCTCCGAACGTGTGATTATGTCCATATGAGAAACATAAGCAAGGGTACATGATCACAGGGGTACGAAAAAAGAGGGAGGGACGTAGAAAGATGTAGAGAGAGAGAGAGAGACGCCAAAGTCAGTCATTTTTCTCTGGGATGATACCAACTGATTTTGTGATTTTGGCCCAGGGGACTTCAGGCTGAGCTCAGTCCTAATACCTGACAGACGAAATGCTATCGGACAGTGAATGTAATTGTGGTTTCAATGGATGGACCGTAGATTGTAAATGAAGACGGACAGAGCGTATCAACCTCCTCCCAACTGTCTTCAATTTGTTCAGATTCAGAAATGTATTGATTCTAAGGAGGAAAATTAATTTGCAGTTTCCCCCGTTCACGATCTCACAAACATTTAATATGATACGTGTCAAAATCACAGGTCAACAAACAAGCAGAGGTTTGGTGAAGGACATCGAGATAAAGATGAAGGAGGTCAAATAAATAGCAATAATAAATCATGATAATCTCATATCATGTAAAAGGCACAGTCATAACATATGTCATTTGAAATGATTTGGATTTGGAGAATCGGTTTGTTCCTCTGAAGTTCATGTTAACGGCCTGAAAGAATCAAAACATGTTCAGGGTTTCTGATTTAGAAAAGAAAACTATGATGGGATGTGAGATGACGCTAAACATTCTGTCACGATTCATTTCAGTACGCTGTCAACAACTCACTTCTAATGGAGCCTGCACGACAGACGAACTCCAGCATGCATTTCCTGTTTCAGTTTGCAGGTCAGAGGTCATCTTCTCTCTACTTTGACCCAACAGATGCTCTCGGACAACATGCGTGAACATGAGTGTGCAGCCCACTGTGATACTCCTCCAACAGACATTCTGCTGCACACTTCATCCAGATGTTAAAATCCCTTTCAGCCAAACCAGTGCGACCGCAGGACTCAGTGATGTGGTTCATCGCGTCCTCTTTTTTCTTATCTGACAGCTCTCTCTCTTTCATACCACCTAATAAGAAATAAGGATGATTTTAAAAAGCTTTCACTGAGCTGCGCAGTCACCGAATCAACTGTGTCATCACTTATTAAGGCGGCGAGGAGGAGGATGCCTGGAAGATGTCTGCAGGAAGGACGCAGACTGAAAGGATGAAAAAAGAAGATGAGCGAGAGAGGAGAGGAGATGAGAGGTGTACTTCCATCTCATGGAAATCCTCCTGTACTCCTCCCTCAGCCTCAACTCAACTTCGATGTATTTGCGGTTCGAGGACCGGACGGGCCCAGCTGGCGGCAACATGCAAAACATTGCGTTACGGTCAAACTACAAAACCAGACTATTGAAGCGAGGCGTGCTTTATCCTTGAATACAATTACATGGGGACTGCGGACGGATAATCCTTTGAAGCCTGATCAAAGACAGTCTGAATTTTGAAGTGGGCTTCGGCGTGTGTTTACATGTAAGAGGAGTGGATCTGGGTAGCTGTTTACATGACTGCAGCATGTAATCCAGTTAGAGAATATTCTGCGTCCTGTCACAAGCAGTTAGCATGAAAAACGACACAAACACATGTGAGAGAGCGGCTGAGCAGCAACCGACGGTTTCTGTATTACACACACATCACACGATTTCACGCACAAATATTTGATACGTGCAGGTTTTTTACGCGAGGATTTCTTTCAGCGGTGTTCTCATTTGCTGCCTCATTACCTGGTGCGAACATGACTTTCTGCAGGAATGTGCCCTCAGCAGCTTCGTATCATCCAGTGACGATTCACCTCATAGTGTCACACACTAACAAATTATACTCTTTGATTGCAATGGCTCAAAATGTGGAATGAACTCATGCTCTGTGTGTTGAGTGATGAAACGTGAATCTGTCGCTGGAAAACGTTGCGGATAACAGACGCTCTTCCACCAGGATAAACCTGGAAGGCAGAAACACGCTGTTATTAAAACAAGAGAAGAAATTAAATCATGTGCTTTCATCGTTTGTCACCTCACAGACGCCAAGATTCAACCAAGATGTCGAACAAACTCTCAGATATTAAGACAAAAAGGTGTTTTGCCTAGATTTCCAAGAATTTGAGGAGAAATAAGAAAAAAAGTTTATGAATCACCTTGAACTTTACCATTTATAGCAGCACAAAATTTTAA